ATTAAAATCAACAAGATTACATGAGTGTGACCGAAGGCACAACTTGAAAACAAGGAGGCTAGGCAGCTCTTTCACAGCACTAAGACCACAGATACACTACCAGACAGTTTAAGAAAGGTTCCATCTTCACTGGGGTTGAGGACATATGATCATTAGACTTAAACACAGCCAGTTTGGATTAAAAAAATATCAGTCGAAGTCTAGAAGAGCTAGACAATGGGCTGAAGGCTGGGCTCACTTAGGATGCCCTTTCTAGTCCTACTTTCCTTATAGCATTTTTCACTCCTGAGAGGAACTGCACTTTATACACTGGCCCGCCTTCCCTCAGAAGTTCTGTAGGTCAGGCTGTTCTAATACTTCCTAAAGCTAATGTCCTTTCCTCTCTCCTGGACAGAGTCTTCTCATTAAAGAAATGATGCCAGGTTCAGCACAGAGATTTCATTAAAGAACTAAACAAAAAGCTGACCGTGGCTTCTGGGTTACACTTTCAGAAGGGTACATTTTGTTCTTGTTGGTCTCGGTCCAAAATAGCATCAGTCTAAAGTTTACTGGAATTTACGCTGGCTCACACCATCGGAAGTGAAAGTGAACCAGTGTCAAGAGACAAAGAGGCAGCATCAGTCATCAGTAGCATCACCCAGTTGAAAAAGCATGTACTAGCACTGGTAGTATCCAGTTAATTTTGTTCTATATTCTATTTCATCAGCATAACAAAGTTGAAGCACTAACTTTGATCTTTATCTGTATGGAAAAGTCTCCTCAATTTAGAGGATTTCAATCAAGATTTTATCAATAATTTTTATTCTAATAAATAAATAATAAAATTAACATGGCATTTCACTGATTTTTGTTTTATTTTTAGCTAACTCAAATGAAAATCTACTTCATTTCTTTTTCTGCTCTGCAGTTTTCTGTGCTATAAACTCATACTGATAAAGGAAGACACATCATATAAGTTCTACAAGTATTCAATTTTGTTTCATAGACATCTTTATGTTAAGCATACAGGTGTAAGAGGAGAATAATTTCCTAATATTGATATACTTAATATGGAAGGTTTGAGTTGCCATAATGTGGAACACAACTTTCCCCTTCCTCCCCACAGAATAAAAAGAAGACACGTAACAATAAATTCTCACTAGCAAGAACAGCTGAGATGTATTAACGACCAGTCATCCACAATACAATAGTTTTAAAATTTCACTTGCTTTTTTGGGGGGATTGGATTTTTTCAATTTAAAGAGACAGATGCTAGGAGGTCAGAATAAGGTAAGGCATACTGAGGATAGAGAGATCCTGAATGCAGAGCAGGGCTATGCAGTTGTGTATTCTGGGACAGGTGAATAAGATACAAAAGAATTCACACTTTCAAAAAATACCTTTTTGCTCATCATCGCGATGTAACACTTTTTTAAACTGATGATTACAGCATAGAAAGTTCTTTATCCTACTAACTTGAATCTCTCCTAGTTTTAAATGAATTTCCAGTAGCTAATAATTAAACTAAGGGAATAAAACCCCTGTGAACACAGAAGCTCCACTGCCCTGAATCTTTCCACTGTATGGCAGCAACAGTTAGATTCAAAAAGAGGTGCCAGCTCTGAAAGTGGAAAAAGGTGACATTTGTACCTGATCAGCTGCTTACCAGAAAAGAAGTAAGACCTTTAGAAGCTTTCTTCTGATCAAATTTAAAGGAAATAATAGGCAGAGTGGGAACAGGATGTTGTCATGATATCCAGCTTTGAAAATCTGATCTTCTTCACTTTACCAAGAAACAGTATCTGTTTGAAGATCCTGAAACCAGTCCTCTCTGAGAGCTGTCCCCAGTTCTCCAGCATCCCAGCAGAAGTATGAAAACCACCACTGTGAAGGTCATCTCTGGAATCCCAAAATGGAGTAGTCTGGGAGTGTTTGGACCTCCTCTGCTCAGCACTCAGGAGGACACCACTGGGGTACTATGCCTGGCTTGGTGTATTCAGTATGACAGAGGAAGGGACTAAGTCCATTGGAGGGTCAGTAAAAGAGTTAGGGAGCTGGAGCACAGAACATTCAACGAGAGGCCAAAGACACTGTGGCTGTTTCACCTGGAGAAAAGGAGGCTAAAGGGAAATCTAGCAGCCGTCTTCAGCTACCTGACCAGGGCTTATAGAGAAGACTGAGCTCAACTCTTCTCAGAAGTACACAGCAACATGACAAGAGGTAATGTACACAAATTGCAACAACAAAAAATCCCTGTGAAGGTGGTCAAACACGGCAACACAGACTTGAGAGGTTGTGAAATCCTCTGCTTCAGGCAAATCTGACACAACTTTGAGGTTAGCCCTGTTTCAAGCAGAGATTAGGACTAGGTGAACTGTCAAGGTCACAGAATCATAGAACATCTCAAGTTGGAAGGGGGCCATAAGAATCATTGAGTCCAACTCCTTATTCCTCAGGACTACCTAAAATTAAACTATATGACTAAGGGCATCATCCAGACGCTCCTTGAACTCTGACAGATTTTGTGCCATGACCACTTCCCTGGGGAACCTGTTCCAGTGAACAACCACTCTCTCAGTGAAGAACCTTTTCCAAATGTCTGAGAAAAATGGTTCTTTCTAGGCCCAGGAGAAGTATGATCCTACAAAAACCCCAGTGTTATTAATACATTGATAAGATCTACCATGCAAAGGCAGGATAAAAACAGGTGTCTAAGACAAAGAAGAAACTACACACGAGGGCACTTGCTACTTAGGTAGGAGTTTCTTGTGTCTACACTCTCCAGGCAACTCTGAATATGAAGGTGACTGGGACAAGAGAAATCTGTGTATATCTTATGTACAGCGCCTTTTCAAACACATTGTAAGTATCAAAAAAATAGCTGTTTGAAAAACCCTCAAATTTTCCACTCCAGTGGGAGAAAATCTGCATGCACACTTTCTCCAATTATTCTAAACGTACACTATTGCAAATTAATACGTTCTTTGAATTAAAAAGGACCAAAAATATTTTACTCAGATGCTTGTGACATCATTTTATTGTATTTTGTAGCATTCTTTCCATGTCATGCCTAATACAATATTTGTAACCACTACTAAAACGTTTGTATGAGGGCATTCACTGCGCTTACAGCCATATTTGATAACCAGTAAGCAAACAGGCAGCTATAGCTCTTATTGTTCTGTTGGGTTTTTTTGAAGTGAGCATTTAATGTCCAAAATAGCAGCTCAGGATCGGAACAATCTTACTGTCCTTAACATTGTTATGTTCTAGGCAAATATGAACATATTCTAAATGAAAGATGGTGAAAAGCTCATGGTTAAGTGGAAGTCCACAAGCGGTTTCATGGAATATTCATATATGCTTAACTACAGCACATTTATATAGCAACACTTGTCCAAGCTAAATATGGGTGTATTTGTGCTTATAGATGCTTTATTTCCCTAGTTTATTCAAACAGCGTATAACCCATAAAACTAAAATGGAGATTTGTGGGATTTTCCTAAAGTATATGTCAAAAAGAGTTTTGTAGGAGTCTGGGGTCTGCTTTACCTTTGCGTTGCTTTGTGTATGTCATATGCATGTTTTAGTCCTAGAACTGGAGTAACTTCTCTAAGTGACAGCATAAATGGCAGTCATTTTAATGTGGTCTTTTTCCAGCAGATATTAAAAAACCTCCTTGAATTCAAGCCCAGTAATGCAAGACTACCAAATTACACATCCTGAGCAGTTTTAACTTCCTACACAGAAAATTCTCTTCATGTCTCAAAAACAACCCCTCAAAACAAACATCAGCTGCAGATCAAGTCTGCTAAACTTCTACAAATAACTGGCAATGCAGGGTTTGCTACACTTTTGAATGACTGAACTTACATAGCTTTTTCTTTCATTTCTCCCCTTTTCAGGTATTTGTTTGTTGTATATGACTGCATCAGGGCAAACAGAAATAAAACATTGTGCATTACATTTGAAAAAAACCACACATACAGTCTTAGATACCAAGAACTTTCCATATAATTTCTCTCCTGACACTCCAAACATCTCCCATCATTGTGCCTCATCTTAAAAAAAAATTACACTTCTTTTTCTGAGACAAAATACACCAGGGCTGAGACAGGAGTACAGAATAGCAGAAAAGACTTGCAGTTTACCAGTCTGGCAAGTACACTTCAGAGCTGACACTCTGTTTTGAGGGTCAGTACTAGGTAGTTTAGCCATCTGAATGTGCTTTACCAATAAGAAAAAAAATCCAGTTTGTAACTATTGAGAAATATGAGAAGGTACTTAAAAGTTAATAAAAAGTAAACATTTACTGGGTTATTTTAATGTATATTACGAGAACCAACAGGACATAACTTTAAACTGTATAATGAATTATACATAAAAATGCGTAGATGTACAGTATATATGTTCATTTATATGTAGACAGAGTAGTATGTACACGTAGGGTCTGATGTGCTTCTGGAACTCTAAGCAGTAATTCCTGTGGTATATTGTCTTCAAGCAGTTTTATTACACAATGTTTCAATGTAGCAGATGCTCAGAACAACGTACATTAACACTAAGTAGGTAAGTCATATCCATTTACTCTTGAAATGTACAAATACAGGAAACAAAGACCATAAATGCAACAGTACCTACAACTCCAAGACTTCTTTTTTTTTAATTTAAATATGCACAAGTCCGCCTAATGGTGATACAAAAGTTTCTTTCCTGCTTTCATTCCGTGTCAACACATTAACCAGGCACTCCGGACGAAATCTTCGATGAACTTCAGCACTACTTCCACTGATTCAACTCAGTGTGCTCCTGACCTTGAAGTCTTCAGGTCAAAAATGAGAGGAAAAATATAAAATAAAAATATATAAATAAAACAAACAAGCTTGTGGGCTTTTATTTCACAACTTCTTTACCACCAATACTGTCAAAGCAGCTGAATCGTAGTGCATCCATAGGCAGGAGCATATAGCAGCTTTTGTGCACTCCGCAAAAAAAAAAATATATTAAAGAAAATCAAGTCTTTATTTGCTTGTTTTATCTGTAGCTAGAAAGATGATGTGCTGCTTCTGAGCCCTTTCCATCAAATTCTTTTTCTTCTTTTTCTTGTCCTTTGTTTTTGTTGGCCTTCTTCCTAAAAAAGGAAAAATGGTACCAGTGAGTCCATTAAGTAAAGAATACAGAAGTGATACTAGACTGCGGTCGAAAAACCCAGTGGCACAGAAATTATTGACAGGAACTGCAAAGGCAATGCTGGCTAATGAGCTTCAATCATCAGTGAAAACAGAAGTTTTCCATGTGGTGCGAGAGGAAGCAGGATCCTTGACTGTCATCATTTGTCCACAGGAACAATTCTGCTGGTATGAGCACCCGTGTCGATGTAGGTCTCACTTTCAGCCGGATA